CTCTCTAGCTTTTTGATAAAGCAACACTTTAACTCAAGGAGGAACAAACAGCCTCAGCGTTGCACTGTCTGTATGATTATTATCAATCCCCAGAGCCCTCCAATGCTTGAAAAATAAGGGCCAGTTTTTATGTTGAAGAATAAATAAAGCTCACCTCTTTTCCAGCCCATCCAGTCCATCCTCAGCAGTAAGGAGCCCGCATGCACCTCTCAGGTGAGAGCCCCCCCCCCAGTATCCAGTGAGGGAGAAGCCTCAGCTCCCCTCTAATCCCGGCCCCTCACACAGCCTCTTAGCACTGAATTGCTGTGATCTCACAGGGGAGATACCATGCGGTTTTTGGCGTAGTAACACCTACCAGGTGTTTTTACTTACCTGGCAGGGGCAATACCCTCCTTGAATGTCTCAGGTGTAGTTAGAGGGTGAAGACCTGTCCCTTCCCTGTGAGCAGGCTGACCCCCGCAGGGGTCTACAAATGCCTCCAAATGCAAGCATCTCAGCTACACAATTTACAGATATGGGGGACATCTCTTGGGCTTTCCGTCCAACTTGCTTCTTCAGACTTTTGGGTATGAAAAGCAAGACTGTGGGGCATCTGCATGCCAAGGCCTCCCGGCTTAGGGCCTGCAGGTAGGACACCTGCCATGGATTTGGGAGCACCTGAAGCTCCAGGCTGAAGGGCCTAGGAGGTAAGATACCTGCTGGTGAAAGCACCATACAGACTTGAAGGACTGAGCTCTGCTCAGTTGACAGAATTTGGAGCCTAGTTGGCTCAAGACATGAAATTAAAAAACAAACCAAAAAAAAAAAAAACAAACCAACCCTTCCAATCAGACCAGTACAAGCAGAGAGAGTTCCCAACTGCATCTGACAATATGCAGTTACCCCAGCTGACTTCCTGCCCCTGGGGCAGGGGGATGGACTCGATGATCTTCCAAGGTAGGTCCCTTCCAGCCCTGATGTCTATGACATCTATGAAATAAGGGGATATTTCCCCCCTCAGCAACAAGATGGGAAAACACAAAACCGGTGCGCTCCCTAGCCAACAGACCTGGTGTAGCTGCAACACGGGGTCCTTTCCGAGGAAAGGACACTACAACCAGTATCCCAAGAGCCTCTTGCCACAAGAGAACCCAGGCTTCTGCTCGAAGGGGCACTGGAGTCAATAACACTGGGAAATGAAAGCTAGGTGAGACAAGAGGAGAAAATCAGCACCAAGCAGCTGAAGTTAGAAGTGACACCATCAAACCAGAAAAATGATCAATGAAGCACACAAGGCAGAGGGAAAGCTGCCAGTTCAAGCAAGGCCAGGAGACCCATGCAAAGCAATGAAACCCTTGCAGAAACACACATCCACCAAGGAGTAGTCTCCTCCAGCTGGCACTTATGGGACCACCAGAGTCCTCCTACAAGGGGCTCCCACCCTTAGATTTATAGGCAGAATGTCATATGAACTGCAAGCAGGTTTTTATATAACATGGAAAGGCAAGCCTCCAAGGGAAAGGCTGGGGCACACAGTATTAACAAAATGTAGCCAAAAAAAAAGTTGAATATTATCTTGCCACAGGTCTTATCTCTTTGATTTTCCTCAAATTCTGGTCTCTAGAAATTTAAAGCATCTTCACAATCTGTCTCCTCCATATAAAACACAAGGGCTGGTCTTTGATCATCCATACAAGGTACAGAAGGAGCATGGTACAGATCTGTAAAATAGGAACATGTAATACTACTGCTGAAACCACCCGCCTTGAGGATCTAAGCAAGTCACTTGACCACTCTGCCTATGATAAGCCAGCAAGTAAGATCTCCTCTCACCTGTTGCCTGCTTTCACGTTCCTGGACCATTGTTTTTCAACAATTTTAGACTCTAGACCCCCTTGAAAAATCCCAGCTCTTAATTTCCACTCAATTTTTGACCACAGCAAAAGAATAGAGCTATTCTGCTGCAAAGAATTTAGAAAGACAGAATGTTTTTAACACTATAACTTCCTATTTGAAATCTCTGGGTTTATCTTGCGAATCATGCAGGTGTCCCTGACAGGACCTTAGGGCACCCCACGGTGCTGCAGGACCCCCGTTGAGAACCACTGCCCTAGACTATGAGTTGTCTGGGGTGGGGACACTGAGTTACCTGCTTGTACCATGGCCAGCTCAAAGACGAGGAGAATCAGGAATGTGAAATGCTTGCAGAAGCTGCCTTTTCCATCTCTATTCGTTGTTCTGCACCTACAGAAACCAGAGGTCTCTGTTTAAACATCCCCGCCTTACCTGGTGGAGGAATTAACTACTGAAGTCAAACTGTGGAGAATTTAGACAGAAGGCATAGCAGTGTGACACCTTATAGACTAAATGGCTCAGAGGCATGAGCTTTTGAAGGTTAAGGTCTACTTCATCAGATGCTATGACTGGACTTGAGGACAGCCTGCATGCTAAACACAAAGGCAGATATACGAAATACAAAGGCAGATATAAAAAGCAGTGGGTAGAGGGAAGCACCAAGCTAATCCTTAGTCCTAAATAACCGGAATAAAGTGATTTAAATACAAAGAATAGGGAAAAGGGGAGGAGAGGAGGGGACGCTACTGCAAAGGTGGATACAAGTGAATTCATCAGCTGATAACACAAGCTTGGTCTCCACAGCACTGAAAATACAGCTATACCAATGAGCCATAATATTAGGTGGAAGGGGATTCCTAAGAGCCATGAGGTCCTCTCAGATGTCAGCTCTGGCCAACATTTAAACATGAAATCCACAGGCATCAATGATATTTTCTTATGCATTTCAAACTGTCTTGCCTCCTACTGCCTGTGATAGTACTCCCAAATGGGGCACTGTTCCTCTCAAACAGGCCTGCAGACCATAGCATAACATATTCCCGCTGGTTTACTGAATATTAGGGGAACAGCCTAAAATAACGTATTCAGAAGGAGGAAAACAAAGGCAGATATAAAAAGCAGTGGGTAAAGGGAAGCACCAAGCTAATACTTAGTCCTAAATAACTGGTGAGCTGAGATAATGCAAACAGGCCGCAGTGCTATTCAGAGCCAGCCTGCAATTGCTGCATAAGTCAGGAGTCAGGGGTTGCTTGAGACCATACATAGTGCCCTTCTACAAGTGGAACCAGGGTCCCTGCTGTAAAGTGTTAAGACATTAGACTCCCATCAAAACAGTCTTCTTTGGATCGGGTTCTGCAGGGCATTACTGCTTTTAGCTGCCTGTTGCATTGCTCATGACTAAGCAGGCTGGCAAGGTACACCGTGCGCAGTGTTAGCCTTGGCAGAAACACAGCTATTTCACTGTTCATTTCATGCACCCTCCCTCCCCTCTGTTTATTCATTTATTTTACCCTCATGTTTTGGGCCTAATCCAAAGGCCCAGTGAGGTCAATGGAAAGATTGCCAGCAACTCCAGTTAGAATTAGAAAATGGCCCTTTGAGATCAATATAGGGAGTTTGCCCTTCTTACGTGATCATACTGCACTTGGTGACCTGGGGCCCAACTCCTGACCCAGGCTCTACAGGCCAATAAATACACTGCAGAGGGAGTCTGCCTCATCAGCTGGTTTGACACCTTCCCTATTACAGAAATGCACACATGATGTTCTACCCCAAAGACGACAACAGAACACGGGATCCCAACGAAGCCAGCCCTTCCCATCTTAACCTTGATTTGAGATGAGGGAAGGGATTCCCTTGCTTTCATGGACTGCAAAATTATACACGCCCCTGTCTGGAATGAGTTGGCGAGCCATTAAGACTGAGCACATTTCTCACAGGTACTTGCTGGGTCAGGACAAGGAGTAAAAAGTGCTGGTCTCACATGCAGGATATACACCAATACTTGATCTGCTAGGATCTTGCACCTTGACTCCTCAAGGGTTGAGGTCTTCCTCTGAAAATGGGCTTTTTCAATACAGAGAGAGGAAAGATCCAGGCCAGGAGACAGGCCAGCACAGTTTTGACTAACAGAAGCAAACAGTCCTTGATCTCTGTAACAGGGCCTAGACAAACAAAAGGTTACTGTTCAACAGGGGACAAATGGTTTTGATGGAGAGGTGAAGAGCTGCCATTGGATAACCATTTCCAAACCCAGTGAGATCCCACATGGGTCTCCATGTGAGCTCTTGAAGGTATAACCTTCCTATTCTGTGTCTGGACAGCCCCAAGCACAGTGGTTCTCAACCTTTATAGACTCAAGGCACCCCTTGTTAGGCTTGATGCACCCCTTGGACAATGACAGCTCTTAGTTTTCACTTTTTTCTGTTTTTTTCTATAAGAGTAACAGAGCAATTCTCCCATTGCAAAGAACTCAGACCACAACAGGGCAAAATATTTTGGGCACTATGGGTTCCTATTGAAGCACCGGGGTTCATCTTGTGAATCGTGCACACCTGACAGTGCTAACACTGCATGGCATCCTCCAGCACCCTTGGAAGTACCTCAAGGCATCCCAAAGCACTGCGGCACCTTGGGTGAGAATCACTGCCCTGGCATAATGGGGACCACAACCATGCCTCTGCCGGCTCCCAGAAAGCAAGGACAGATCTGTCTGTCTGCTCTGGAACAGCCCGAGGCCAAAACAGGAACATGAATTGGTCGTGATGGTTCCAACCACTGACCCAGCAC